TACACTCACCCTGTCACTCACCCTGGCACTCACCCTCCACTCACCCTCCACTCACCCTCCACTCACCCTACACTCACCCTCCACTCACCCTACACTCACCCTCCACTCACCCTCCACTCACCCTAAGCTCACCCTACACTCACCCTACACTCACCCTACACTCACCCTGTCACTCACCGTACACTCACCCTACACTCACCCTGTTACTCACCCTCCACTCACCCTCCACTTCACCTCCACTCACCCTAAACTCACCCTACACTCACCCTACACTCATCCTACACTCACCCTACACTCACCCTACACTCACACTACAATCACCCTACACTCACCCTACACTCACCCTTTCACTCACCCTACACTCACCCTACACTCACCCTCCACTCACCCTACACTCACCCTACACTCAACCTTTCACTCACCCTACACTCACCCTCCACTCACCCTACACTCACCCTACACTCACCCTGTCGCTCACCCTCCACTCAACCTCCACTCACCCTCCACTCACCCTACACTCACCCTCCACTCACCCTACACTCACCCTCCACTCACCCTCCACTCACCCTGTCACTCAAACTACACTCACCCTACACTCACCCTGTCACTCACCCTCCACTCACCCTACACTCACCCTGTCACTCACCCTGTCACTCACCCTGTCACTCATCCTACACTCACCCTACACTCACCCTGTCACTCACCCTGTCACTCACCCTACACTCACCATACACTCACCCTCCACTCACCATACACTCACCCTGTCACTCACCCTCCACTCACCCTACACTCACCCTGTAACTCACCCTCCACTTACCCTCCACTCACCCTACACTCACCCTCCACTCACCCTCCACTCACCCGGTCACTCACCCTGTCACTCACCCTACACTCATCCTACACTCACCCTGTCACTCACCCTACACTCACCCTGTCACTCACACTCCACTCACCCTACACTCACCCTACACTCACCCTGTCACTCACCCTCCACTTACCCTGTCACTCACCCTGTCACTCACCCTGATACTCACCCTCCACTCACCCTCCACTCACCCTCCACTCACCCTCCACTCACCCTACACTCACCCTCCACTCACCCTCCACTCACCCTGTCACTCACCCTCCACTCACCCTCCACTCAGCCTGTCACTCACCCTACACTCACCCTCCACTCACCGTACACTCACCCTACACTCACCCTTCACCCTACACTCACCCTCCACTCACCCTACACTCACCCTACACTCACCCTGTCACTCACCCTACACTCACCCTACACTCACCCTGTCACTCACCCTACACTCACCCTACACTCACCCTTCACCCTACACTCACCCTACACTCACCCTCCACTCACCGTACACTCACCCTACACTCACCCTTCACCCTACACTCACCCTCCACTCACCCTACACTCACCGTACACTCACCCTACACTCACCCTTCACCCTACACTCACCCTACACTCACCCTACACTCACCCTCCACTCACCCTCCACTCACCCTGTCACTCACCCTGTCACTCACCCTCCACTCACCCTACACTCACCCTGTCACTCACCCTACACTCACCCTGTCACTCACCCTCCACTCACCCTGTCACTCACCCTCCACTCACCCTACACTCACCCTGTCACTCACCCTACACTCACCCTACACTCACCCCTCACCCTCCACTCACCCTACACTCACCCTACACTCACCCTGTCACTCACCCTGTCACTCACCCTACACTCACCCTGTCACTCACCCTACACTCACCCTACACTCACCCTTGACCCTACACTCACCCTGCACTCACCCTACACTCACCCTACACTCACCCTACACTCACCTTTCACCCTACACTCACCCTACACTCACCCTACACTCACCCTTCACCCTACACTCACCCTACACTCACCCTACACTCACCCTACACTCACCCTGTCACTCACCCTGTCACTCACCCTCCACTCACCCTCCACTCACCCGCCACTCACCCTACACTCACCCTACACTCACCCTCCACTCACCCTACACTCACCCTGTCACTCACCCTGTCACTCACCCTCCACTCACCCTACACTCACCCTATCACTCACCCTACACTCACCCTGTCACTCACCCTCCATTCACCCTACACTCACCCTGTCACTCACCCTCCACTCACCCTCCACTCACCCGGTCACTCACCCTGTCACTCACCCTACACTCATCCTACACTCACCCTGTCACTCACCCTACACTCACCCTGTCACTCACACTCCACTCACCCTACACTCACCCTACACTCACCCTGTCACTCACCCTCCACTTACCCTGTCACTCACCCTGTCACTCACCCTGATACTCACCCTCCACTCACCCTCCACTCACCACCCACTCACCCTCCACTCACCCTACACTCACCCTCCACTCACCCTCCACTCACCCTGTCACTCACCCTCCACTCACCCTCCACTCAGCCTGTCACTCACCCTACACTCACCCTCCACTCACCGTACACTCACCCTACACTCACCCTTCACCCTACACTCACCCTCCACTCACCCTACACTCACCCTACACTCACCCTGTCACTCACCCTACACTCACCCTACACTCACCCTGTCACTCACCCTACACTCACCCTACACTCACCCTTCACCCTACACTCACCCTACACTCACCCTCCACTCACCGTACACTCACCCTACACTCACCCTTCACCCTACACTCACCCTCCACTCACCCTACACTCACCGTACACTCACCCTACACTCACCCTTCACCCTACACTCACCCTACACTCACCCTACACTCACCCTCCACTCACCCTCCACTCACCCTGTCACTCACCCTGTCACTCACCCTCCACTCACCCTACACTCACCCTGTCACTCACCCTACACTCACCCTGTCACTCACCCTACACTCACCCTGTCACTCACCCTCCACTCACCCTACACTCACCCTGTCACTCACCCTACACTCACCCTACACTCACCCTTCACCCTACACTCACCCTACACTCACCCTACACTCACCCTGTCACTCACCCTGTCACTCACCCTACACTCACCCTGTCACTCACCCTACACTCACCCTACACTCACCCTTGACCCTACACTCACCCTGCACTCACCCTACACTCACCCTACACTCACCTTTCACCCTACACTCACCCTACACTCACCCTACACTCACCCTTCACCCTACACTCACCCTACACTCACCCTACACTCACCCTGTCACTCACCCTGTCACTCACCCTCCACTCACCCTCCACTCACCCGACACTCACCCTACACTCACCCTACACTCACCCTGTCACTCACCCTACACTCACCCTGTCACTCACCCTGTCACTCACCCTCCACTCACCCTACACTCACCCTATCACTCACCCTACACTCACCCTGTCACTCACCCTCCATTCACCCTACACTCACCCTGTCACTCACGCTACACTCACCCTACACTCATCCTGTCACTCACCCTCCACTCACCCTCCACTCACCCTACACTCACCCTACACTCACCCTACACTCACCCTGTCACTCACCCTTCACCCTACACTCACCCTACACTCACCCTACACTCACCCTGTCACTCTCCCTACACTCACCCTGTCACTCACCCTCCACTCACCCTACACTCACCCTGTCACTCACCCTACACTCACCCTACACTCACCCTGTCACTCACCCTACACTCACCCTCCACTCACCCTACACTCACCCTACACTCACCCTGTCACTCACCCTTCACCCTACACTCACCCTACACTCACCCTACACTCACCGTGTCACTCACCCTACACTCACCCTGTCACTCACCCTCCACTCACCCTACACTCACCCTGTCACTCACCCTACACTCACCCTACACTCACCCTGTCACTCACCCTACACTCACCCTCCACTCACCCTACACTCACCCTACACTCACCCTCCACTCACCCTCGACTCACCCTACACTCACCCTCCACTCACCCTACACTCACCCTCACCCTACACTCACCCTACACTCACCCTCCACTCACCCTCGACTCACCCTCCACTCACCCTCCACTCACCCTACACTCACCCTCACCCTACACTCACCCTCCACTCACCCGACACTCACCACACAAAGCACCGCACTCACCCTGCGCGCTTCCTTGTTACAGCGGTGTGTGGCAGACGCGACATGCACCCCCCACACAGACAAAGGTCCCCCGTGTAGCCTCTAACAGGCTGTAGGGGCAAGTGCTGTGAGTAGCGAGTAGCTGCAGCACCTGTGAAGGTAGACACAGACAAAGGGCTCCCGTGTAGCCTCTAACAGGCTGTAGGGGCAAGTGCTGTTAGCGAGCAGCACCTGTGAAGGTAGACACAGACAAAGGGCTCCCGTGTAGCCTCTAACAGGCTGTAGGGGCAAGTGCTGTTAGCGATCAGCACCTATGCAGGCTACCGGCACTGTGGCACACTAGGGGGTGGGTGGCTACCAGCACCACACCCGGCCGCCTTTGTCTCTCCCCACACACACCTGTACACATACCCACACACGTGTACACACACACACACTCACCCACCCACTGATCCACCTACTCACTCACCCACCCACTCACCCACCTACTTACTCACCCACCTACTCATCCATCCACTGACCCACCTACTCACTCACCCACCCATTCACTCACCCACCCACCCACCTACTCACTCACCCACCCACTCACACACTCACTCACCCACCCACTCACCCACCCACTCACTCACCCACCCACTCACTCACCCACTGACCCACCTACTCACTCACCCACCCAAGCACCCTCCCACTGACCCACCTACGCACTCACCCACCTCCTCACCCACCTCCTCACCCACCCATTAACCCACCTAATCACTCACCCACCCACTCACCCATCCACTGACACACCTACTCACTCACTCACTCACCCACCCACACCCACCCACTGATCCACCTACTCACTCACCCACCCACTCACCCATCCACTGGTCCACCCAGTAACTCACCTACCCACCCACCCACTGACCCACCTACTCACTCACCCACCCACTAACCCACCCACTGACCCACCTAATTTCTCACCCACCCACTCACCCACCCACTGGCCCACCCACTCACTCACCCCCCTATTCACCCACCTATTGACCCACCTACTCACTCACCCACCCACTCACTCACTCACCCACCCACCCACTGACCCACCCTACTCACTCATCCACTCAATTACCCACTCACTCAGCCACCCACCCATTCACCCACTCACCCACTCACTCACTCACCCACCCACTCACCCACCCACCCACCCACTCACCCACCCTACTCACTCACTCACCCACCCACTGACCCACCCTACTCACTCAACCACTCAATCACCCACTCACTCAGCCACCCACCCATTCACCCACTCACCAACGCCCTCACCCACCCACTCACTCACCCACCCACTCACTCACCCACCCACTCACTCACTCACCCACCCACTTACCCACTCACCCACTCACTCACCCACTCACTGACCCACCCTACTCACTCACCCACTCACCCACCCACTCACTCAGCCACCCACTCATTCACCCACCCCTAGGTCACTCTTGCAAATTAAACTCCACCCGGGGCGGTCTTGACATTCTTAACTGGTTAACTAACCACTAACCCACCCACTGACCCACCTAATATCTCACCCACCCACTCACCCATCCACTGACCCACCCACTCACTCACCCACCTATTCACCCACCTATTGACCCACCTACTCACTCACCCACTCACTCACTCACCCACCCACCCACTGACCCACCCTACTCACTCATCCACTCAATTACCCACTCACTCAGCCACCCACCCATTCACCCACTCACCCACCCACTCACCCACCCACTCACTCACTCACCCACTCACTCACCCACCCACTCACCCACTCACTCACTCACCCACTCACTCACTCACCCACTGACCCAGCTACTCACTCACTCACCCACCCACTCACCCACTCACCCACTCACTCACCCACCCACTGACCCACCCTACTCACTCACCCACTCACCCACCTACTCACTCAGCCACCCACCCATTCACCCACCCCTAGGTCACTCTTGCAAATTAAACTCCACCCGGGGCGGTCTTGACATTCTTAACTGGTTCCGCAGCGATCAACTCGGTCCACCTCCTCGCTGTAACCTCTTCCCATGCTGGTATTCACCGCTCGCAGTGAAGTTGCAGTGCGTACGCTTGTCCACACGAGGGCGACATCGCATCGACTCAGTTTTTTGGTGATGACCCAACCCCCCCGCTGAGATGTTGGTGTCAAGGTTCGAGCCCTGGGTCTGGGTGTTTCTATTATATTTTTTTTTATCAGGGTTCATCTCAGGAAGACACGTGCCTGAGCGTTATTGTTTCATTATCATCATGCGCAGCAGCGTCATCGGCATCATCATCAGCATCGTCGCCATCAGCACTCGCGCATTGCAAATGCAGACTCACACACATTGCCGTGTATTGGCACCACCATCACCAACATCATCATCAGCATCATCATTAACAACATCGTCATCAGCAGCATCATCATCGTCAGCAGCATCATCAGCATCATCGTCGTCATCATCATCATTCGCATCAGTGTCTCTCTCACAGTGATGATGATGATGACTATGATGACCGAGAGGCTGGGTTCGAGCCCTGGGTCTGGGTGTCTCTCTCTTAGTGGGTTCACGTTGGCCGTGTCGGAGACACTGAGAGGCTGGGTTCGAGCCCTGGGTCTGGGTGTCTCTCTCTCAGCGGGTTCTCGATGGCCGTGTCAGAGATACTGTGAATGGCTGGGTTCAATCACTGGGTGTCTGGGTGTCTCTCTCGCACATAGACACCTATGAAGGTCGGCACGGCACACGAAGGGGTGGACGGCCACCACCACCCCGTGACATCGAGAGGAGGCCCAGGACCGGTTCAGATAATCGTCACTGGTGGTGTTGGTGGCCGTGAGCGGGAATCAAACTCGGGTCGCCGGGTTTGCAGTGCAGCGTAGCGCTAACCACTACACTACCGCTACACACAACGCCATCATCAGCAGCATTGTTTATGGATGTTCGTTTTGATATCAACATCATAGCTGATGGATCACCACCATCATGATCATCATCAACAAACGATGTCAATAATGATGTTGATGATGTCCCTAATGATTGTTAGAACAATTGTGATGATGATGATGTTGATGGTGGCATTATGAAAATCGCTATTAACAATGATGATCATGATGATATCATGACGATGTGATGATGATATCATTGTTGGCGATATTATCATCAGCCAACAGGATGATGTGATTACATTCATGATGTTGATGGTGATGATGTTGATGGTGGCGATGTTTATTATGATGTTGATGATAATGTTGATGACACTGATGATGATGATGATGATTATGTTGATGATGGTGATGATGATGACTATGATGATGATGGTGATGACGATGTTGATGATGGTGATGATGATGACTATGATGAAGGTGATGATGATGATGCTGATGATGATATTAATTATGTTGATGACTATGATGATGATGATAAGTATGCTGATCGTGATGATGATGACTATGATGATGATGATTATGATGGTGATGATGACTATGATGATGATGATGATGACTATGATAATGCTGATGACTATGATGATGATGATGATGACTATAATGATGATGTCTATGATGATGATTATGATGGTGATGATGTCTATGATGATGGTGGGGACTATGAGGATGACGACTGTGATGATGAAGATGACTATGATGGTGATGATGACTATGATGATGGTGATGATGATTGTGATGATGACTATGATGATGATGACTATGATGATGATGATAAATATGATGATGGTGATGATGACTATGATGATGACTATGTTGATGATGGTGACTATGATGATGACGATGATGATGACTATGATGATGATGATGACTATGGTGATGATGATGATGATGAAAATGATGATGATGACTATGATGATGATGACTATGATGATGATGACTTTGATGATGATGATGACTATGATGATAATGACTATGATGATGATGGTGATGAAGATGACTATGATCATGATGATATGATGTTGACTATGACGATGGTGATTATGGTGATGACTATGATGTTGATGATGACTATGATGATGATGATGACTATGATGATGATGGTGATGATGACTATGATGATGATGATGACTATGATGATGATGATGACTATGATGATGATGACTTTGATGATGACGATGACTATGATGATGATAATGATGATGAATATGATGATGATGACTATGATGATGATGATGACTATGATGATGACTATGATGATGGTGATGATGACTATGAGGATGGTGATGATGTTGATGATGATGATGATGACGATGATGATGATTATGTTGATAATGATGATGACTATGATGATGACTATGATGATGGTGATGATGACTATGAGGATAGTGATGATGATGATGACTATGATGATGATAATGATGATGAATATGATGATGATTATGATGATGATGATGACTATGATGATGACTATGATGATGTTGATGATGACTATGAGGATGGTGATGATGTTGATGATGATGATGACTATGATGATGATGATGACTCTGCAGATGATGACTATGATGATGATCATTATGATGATGACTATGATGATGACTATGATGATGGTGATGATGACTATGAGGATGGTGATGATGTTGATGATGATGATGACTATGATGATGATGACTATGAGGATGATGACTATGATGATGGTGATGATGACTATGATGATGGTGATGATGACTATGAGGATGTTGATGATGTTGATGATGATGATGACTATGATGATGATGACTATGATGATGATGACTATGTTGGTGCTGATGTTGATCATGATGATGACTATGATAATGGTGATGATGACTATGATGATGATGATGAATATGATGATGGTGATGATGACTACGTTGATGATGATGATGACTATGATGATGACTATGTTGATGATGGTGACTATGATGATGACGATGATGATGACTATGATGATGATGATGACTATGGTGATGATGATGAAAATGATGATGATGACTATGATGATGATGGTGATGAAGATGACTATGATCATGATGATATGATGTTGACTATGACGATGGTGATTATGGTAATGACTATGATGATGATGACTATGCTGATGATGACTATGTTGATGATGATGATGACTATGATGATGACTATGATGATGGTGATGATGACTATGAGGATGGTGATGATGTTGATGATGATGATGACTATGATGAAGATGACTATGATGATGATGACTATGATGATGATCATTATGATGATGACTATGATGGTGATGATGACTATAATGATGATGGTGACTATGATGATGGTGATGATGACTATGATGATGATGGTGATGTTGACTATGATGATGATGACTTTGATGGTGATGATGACTATGATGATGATGGTGATGACTATGATAAAGATGATGACTATGATGATGGTGCTGACTATGATGATGATGACGACTATGATGGTGATGATGATGACTATGATGATGATGACTATGATGATGATGACTAAGATGATGATGACTTTGATGATGACGATGACTATGATGATGATTACTATGATGATGATGGTGATGACTATGATGATGATGACTATGATGATGGTGATAACTATGATGATGGTGATGATGACTAAGATGATGATGATGATGACTATGATGATGATGATGACTATGATGATGATAATGATGATGACTATGATGATCATGATGATGACTATGATGATGATGATGACTTTGATGATTACTATGATGATGGTGATGATGACTATGAGGATGGTGATGATGTTGATGATGATGATGACTATGATGATGACTTTGATGATGATGATTATGTTGATGATGATGATGACTATGATGATGACTATGATGATGGTGATGATGACTATGAGGATGGTGATGATGTTGATGAAGATGATGACTATGATGATGATGACTATGATGATGGTGATGATGACTATGATGATGGTGATGATGACTATGAGGATGGTGATGATTTTGATGATGATGATGACTTTGATGATGATGACTATGATGATGACGATGGTGACTATGATGGTGATGATGTTGATCATGATGATGACTATGATAATGGTGATGATGACTATGATGATGATGATGATGACTATGATGATGGTGATGATGACTATGTTGATGATCATGATGACTATGATGATGGTGATGATGACTATGATGGTGGTGATGTTGATGATCATGACTATGATGATGATGATTATGATGGTGATGATGATGATGACTATGATGATGATGATGACTATGATAATGTTGATGACTATGATGATGAAGATGACTATGATGATGACGTCTATGATGATGGTTATGAGGGGATGATGTCTATGATGATGGTGATGATGACAATGATGATGTTGACTATGATGATGATGATGACTATGATGATGATGGTAACGTTGACTATGATGATGATGACTATGATGGTGATGATGACTTTGATGATGGTGCTGACTATGAGGATGACGACTGGTGATGATGAAGATGACTCTGATGGTGATGATAACTATGATGATGGTGATGATGATGGTGATGATGACTATGATGATGACTATGTTGATGATGGCGACTATGATGATGGTGATGACGATGATGAAGACTATGCTGATGATGATGACTATGGTGATGATGATGAAAAGGATGATGATGACTATGATGACTATGATGATGATGATGACTATGACGATGATGATTGTGATGATGACTATGATGTTGATGATGACTATGATGATGATGGTTACTATGATGATGGTGATGATGACTATGATGATGATGGTGATGTTGACTATGACGATGATGATTATGATGATGACTATGATGTTGATGATGACTATGATGATGATGGTTACTATGATGATGGTGATGATGACTATGATGATGATGGTGATGTTGACTGTGACAATGATGATTATGATGATGACTATGATGTTGATGATGACTATGATGATGATGGTGATGTTGACTGTGATGATGACTATGATGACTATGATGATGATGACTATGATGATGATGATGACTATGATGATGATGATGACTACGATGATGATGATGACTATGATGATGATGGTGACTATGGTGATGGTGATGACGATGATGTTGATGATGACTATGATGATGATGACTATGATGATGATCATT